CACCTACCTCTCTCTCACACACACACGACCTCTCTCTCTCTCACACACACACACACGCATGACCTCTCTCTCTCTCTCACACACATACGGGTGTGTGGGCACTTGCACGCACAACTTTTTTTTTTTTTTTTTCTGTGCACATGCACGTGCACCACTCTCTCGCGATATGTGTGTTTGTCTCCTTGATTACACAGGGGCACTGCGAATTAAATTTTCTCTGAATCCTGGCAATCTCTTAACAAAGGTCTTCCTAAGGATTCAAATTTCAAACTCCATCCTTTGTTTGTTTTTTGGAGGGGGTGAAAAGGGCAACAGCCTTGAGATATTACCATCGAACTGACCGCCCCAGGTATAACTTGACCTTGTAATGTATGCCTTCACTATTTTGAGCTTGTTTATTACCTCGAGTTTCCATAGAGGAGAGAATGTTACGTTTTCTCCAGCTCTAGGTTGTCGATGAGCACACATCGGAATTGTGTTAATTGAAACGACAAAAATAGTAAACAAGTTAAAATAACTCTTTGCTCGGATGAATTTCGATGAAATGAATACTACAGTTCATCCAGGGTCTTGATTCTTTCAAACTGAGGTCTGTACTTCAGCAGTTCAGGGGTGTGTACCTACTAAGCTACTGCCTTCACCCGAAGTAGAATGCCCGGTCATTATCACTGTATGCGGACTGAATGTTGCCCCAAATGCAGCTATAATGACTGGGCATTCTCTCCCGGTGAAGACGGCAGGCGCATCAAATTCTTACATCTCAGTGTTGTCTTGTCGGCTTTTGGAGGACAAGCCTGATGGTAGCTGCTCTCAAGTGTTTGCACTTGATTTCACCCGAAGTAGAATGCCCGGTCATTGTTACAGTGTCCCGACTAAAGGTTGCCCCGAATGCAGCCAGCTATAATGTGACTGGGCACTCTATTCTGGTGAAGACGGTGGGCCCCGTGAAATTCTCACATCTGCATGTTGTCCTGTCGGCTTTTGCAGGGCAAGCCTGATGGTAGCTGCTCTCAAGTGTTTGCACGGATTTGTCCGAATCTATCGGGACCTCAGCCCTTTTCCGGAGATTTTCTCCCCTGTGCTGCATACTTTGAGAGAGCTGAAACCAGCAGTCCCCGCCTGTATCAGCACTTTGATTTGTGCAGTGGAGGCAGATATTGCCCAAGCAGCGGAGTATCAGATCACCTGCCGCAGACCGCTCCGGTTGCACCTCAAGAAGCCTGTTCCCATCAAACAGTTTAACCCAAGATTTGAAGAGAAGTTAGTTCTGACCACCATGACCTGGTCATCGGTTTTTGTGTGCGCTCATGCTCTTTTTTGAAGTCCACTTTTTTTTCATTTTCTCGCCGCTCCCACTAAAGGCTCCTCTCTGTATGATGGACTGTTGACTTGTTGAAAGTTGAAACTGCCTGTTTCGCAAAATAAATGACAAACGAAGAAAGAAATAATAAATAAAATGAAGAGAAATGATAACAGAACCACCCGCCTGTTTGATTACGGCATTTCACAACTTTGTACTAGGCAACATTAGAAAGCATCCTATATGGATACCACTGACATGAAGAAACAACAAAAGCATTCTGAGATGTACACAACAACCAATCAACTCGTCCATGTGAAAAGATTTTGCATGGAAAAGCTCTGCATCTGACAGAAGCGTCTCCGGATAGACAGACACTCGCTCGTGCACGTGGGGTGATAGGAGGAGGAAAAAGGGGAGAGAGAGAGAAAGAGAGAGAGAGAGAGAGAGAGAGAGAGAGCAGATTCCTATTGCAGTCAGTCACCTCGAGCTAAGTGTTGTGTGCATGCATAAGAAGGGAGAGCAAGGAATCATGAAGGGTGGGGAGAGACAGAGAGAGAGAGAGAGAGAGAGAGAGATGGAGAGAGAGAGAGAGAGAGAGAGAGAAGATTCCTATTGCAGTGAGTCACCTCGAGCTAAGTGTTGCATCTATGAATAGGAGAGAGAGGGAGTAATGGAGAGCCTCGATCCAAATGCTGTGTGGGTGCGTGAGAGAAAGGGAGAGAAAGGAATCACAAAGGGGGGGGGGGGGGGGGGGGGGGGGGGGGGGGG